GTGTCCATTAATTCTTTTGCGTAGAGACTGTCCAGTTTGGCCAATGTACATGGCAGAGGGGCATTGCTGGCACATGATGGCATGTATCACATTGGTAGATGTGCAGGTGAACGAGCCCCTGATGGTATGGCTGATGTGATTAGGTCCTATGATGATTTTTGCGGATACAGACTAACACGGCTGCTACTCTGAAACCTTTGTTTACGTTGACCGTCCGCAGGCACGGAACCCCGCAGCTCCCAGTGGCCGCGGTTCGCCATTCCCAGCCAATGGGAACTGCGGGAAGGGGAGCGGGCCGCAGGGATGTGCTGGCCGCCACTTCCCACAGCTCCCATTGGCCGGGAACAGCGAACTGCGGCCACTGGCAGCTGCAGGGGGCCGTGTCTGCAGCGTAAACAAAAATGTCTCACGGCCGGCCAGCGGATTACTCTGACGGGCCGTGTGCCGAAGGTTGCCGACCCATGTTCTGTAATTTGAGCGACTCACTTTTTGCAGTTCACCAAACTTGGAACAGATCATTTAACATTAGGAAACATCCGAACAGCCCTTTCTTATCTTAATCCCTCTGTTTATAAACACAATTCTGCCTCCCTGCCTCAGGGGCCAACCAAGGGAGGTTCTTTAAAGGCTTTTTAAACTCCCCCTAGAACTGTGTGCATGCGCACAGCAGAGAGTGAGTGAGGATGAAAAACTACAAACAAAACGCGGACGAACCCTCCCCAAACCTGCCACCTATAACATGATGAGCAATTAAAAACAACCAAACCAAAATCTGCTTATTGTAAGTGGACTTGGTGATTGTTGCAGAGCTGGGGAAAGAACCCAGGAGTTCTGGCTCCCAGCCTCCCCTGCTCTAACCACTGGACCCCACTCCCCTCCCAGAGCCAGGGAGAGAACCCAGGAATCCTGGCTCCCAGCCCCCTCCTGCTCTAACCACTACACCCCACTCCCCTCCCAGAGCTGGGGAGAGAACCCAGGAGTCCTGGCTCCCAGCCCCCTCCTGCTCTAACCACTAGATCCCACTCCCCTCGCAGAGCTGGGGAGAGAACCCAGGAGTCCTGGCTCCCAGCCCCCTCCTGCTCTAACCACTAGACCCCACTCCCCTCCCAGCGCTGGGGAGAGAACCCAAGCATCCCCTAGGTCGCATCCCCTCCCCCATTTTTTTTTGCTTCCGCCTTTGAAGGGCTCTGTCCCTCCTAAGCCACCATCCCTCCCCTGGCACCCACCTTCTTTGCCCTCATTGGCTGCTCCTGAGGCTGCCCGCCTCTCCGCCCCGTTCGCCAATCCAACCCGAGCTCCTCCCTCCCGATTGGTCGGACGGAGAGGCGAGGGAAGGGTGGCGCGCCCTGCGTCGTGACGTTACTCCGCCGCCGACGACCTTCGCTCGCGCTCTCTCTCTCTCTATCCACCCCCTCCGCGTGCGTCACGCTACGTGCCGCGCGAGGCGCCCCGGAAGGACGCGAGCGGGAGAAGGGGAAAAAAAAAAAAAAAAAAAAGACCCAGCACCAGGGAGGCCGCCGCCGCCGCCATCTTGAGAGCGCGGGACGGAGCCAGCGCGGCGCGAGACACCCCCCGACGCGCCCCTCCCCCACAGCGCAGCGCCCGGGGCCTAGCGGGGGCGGGGGGAGCCGGGCGGGCAGGGCCTGAAGCCCGAACAGGGCCCGTGGCGCCGGGCAGGCCCCTGAGGCCTAGAGGAGCCGGGGGGGGCCCAGGCGGGGCTGGGGGGGGGCGACGCCCGAGCAAGGGGCTGTGGGGCCAGTTAAAGGCCTTGGGGGCCCAGGCAGGGATCTAGGGGGGCTCTGAGAGTCGGGGGGGGCGCCAGGAACCAGGGGGGCCTGGAGGGGTGTGGGGCCAGAGGCCTGGTCGGGCCAGGGGCTGAGGAGCAAGGCAGGGGTGGGGGGGGGAGTAGGCAGAGAGGGGCGTAGGCCTGTGGGAGTGGGGGGCGGGTCTGCACCCCTGAGAAGGCCGTGACTGAAGGGGGAGCTTTCTGGCCCACGCCCACCTGAAGGGCCTCAGTTTCCTGCCCTGGACAGTGGGGCTGGGCACCCTGCGTTCCCACCCCAGCCCCCAGGAGGCCGAGACGGCGCGAAAGGGGGGCGCCCCTGGATTCCTGCCCCAGGAGGCACCGGCTTGAGGCTGCTGTGACTTTCTCCTCTGCCCCCCTGCACTGCGAGAGAGGGGCGCGCCCCGGGGGGCTGCGTTCTGTCTACGGAGCCGGGTCGGGGAGCGACATCTAGAATCCCAGATTCCCCCCCCTCCAGCGACTGAACGATGGCGACCAACATAGGCGACCAGCGAGCCTCTGAATGGTGATCTTTGCATGTTGGGTGCTTGGGTGGGAACAGGTGGCTCGTTAATATACTGCTGCGTTGAGGTTTTTGTGGGGAAGGGGAGTAGAGGAAGCAGTGACATGTCTCTAGCAGTGACTGTCTTCCTTTGACAGGAGCCCGGATTTATGGGCCAAAGCAAACTAAGCTCCCCTTATTCTCCCAGGCTGCCAGTTAGCCGGGCTGGATCGTCTTGTCACCAAATAGCTACAAAGGAATCTTCTCTTTCAGAGCATAAGCTAGTGATTCAGAAGGGACAGGAATGGATGCTTGTTCTCTGTGCGTTGTAGCGAGCCGGACACAGTGGCTGACACTGTGCACAGGATCATCCTCATCTTGTGTAGTTATAATTTTAAAATGACGTGGAAGAGAATGTTGACTTTTTAAGGCGAGAGTTGCCACCTGCTATGTGGGACCCTGACCTTGTTGAGGCTCTTTTTCTACTGCACCATAGAAAGGCCCATCTTTTCTCACGGCCTTTGAAAATGGGGCAAAGCAAGGTTGGGGGGAGCACTGGTGGGTTAAGCCACACAGTTTTTTTTACTGGTATAGCTGTTTCAGTTAGGGGTACGATTGATATTGCTGAAATAGTGATGCCTGTGTGGATGCAGCTACACCAGTATAGCTGATTTCCCTCGTGTGGGAATGAGCTATACCAGTATAAACATCTTGATAACTGCATCCACGCTGGGGAAGATGAATGCACCGACTTTAATTATACCGGTATCAAAGTGGTCCAGCTTGTGTGTCTAAACA